ATCTAAAACACGGAGGTTTGATAAGTATTATGTTTCCCGTGTTTATTTGATTCTTATGTTGTTGTTTTTCATTTATATTAGTAATTTTTTAAAAATATATTTCTTTTTATAGCTGTGTCATTCTTTAGTATAATGTCTTATTTTAATAATAATTAAGAAAAGAAAATGCTTTTTGATTAAACTATTTAAATGAGTTTTAATAAAAGCTTTAATTTAAATTGGCAACGCTATTAAACTCTCTAAAGAGGAGCGATAAGTCATGGAAGTGGTTTGAAGGTTTGCCTATCTTTTACACTACAACTTACGTAGTTTTATTTGTCTACGCAACAGTGCGTGTTAGTTGTTGTATAACCTACGCTACTGTAGTAATCTGTTTTTTACTTGTTTTTATTTTTATAAAACCATAGTCTATCAAGGTGCAAAAAAATTGTTTTGCTGTTTTTGATCGGATTCCGCCCCCCCCCCCCCCATGGCCTGCCTCCCCACCCTCCCACAGCTCACAATTTCTCTCCTATACGTCAGCGGTTAATATTAATAAATTATTTGGTTGGTATCTAAAGAATTTGTTCTTACTTTTTAATGTGTAGAAATCATTTATTTTAATTTAATAGATACTATTTTTAATCTCATAAAAACAGAACTAAAAAAAACTCAACATGTATTGTAGACCAGCCAACACACAGAGAGGTTTCTACGAAATTTTATCTGAGTAAATTAAAAACTCGCACATGCGGTCAAAGGTGAAATTGGAAATGGTACACTGAGTGCAAATGTGTTTACCTTCGATTACTGTACCGTAAGGCTAAACTACCCAGTTCGCTTAGTATGTGATGGCAGATTTTGTTAACGTAAGTATTAACGTTGTATTCTAGATTTAGAATCTAGATTTACTAACTTTTCATTTATCAACGAACAGCACTTGATCTAGATTCTAGATCTTGAAAATTAAAAATATTTTTCGTTTTTCTTCAACCATGACTGTGCACTTTTAAATAATTAATTAATAATTGCTAGCTAAGGCCTAAATGGCAATGCAATTGTTACTTAAATTATTAATTAATTGTATATTTTATTTATTAATATTGATAATTCATTACATTAGATATAATATAGATTTAGATCTAGATCTATATCTAATTATCTAAATCTACTAGATTACCTAGATCTAGATCTAGACTAGACATTTATACTTGAAATTAGATTAGTGACTAAGATTAGTGGGCTCATTCTAGATTCTAGATCTCTAGTCTAGACTCTAGACCCTTTTGAATGATATTATTATAGATCTATTATTTGAATCGACCCTTTGTATCCCTGCCAGAACGAGCTGCCAGGGTGAAAATGGACATAGGCCTACCTGATTTGATTAGTCAACAATTAAACTCAAAGTACCCCCGCCATGTCCATGCCATATATAGTGTATGGAGTGTATGACAGTTTTTAAAACAAACTCAGCTGCCATAGTGCTCTCAAGGGAGACAAAACTAACTTTCTTTTTAGCGCAATTTCCATACTGGGATTGCGATTATTAACTCGTCATTTCTGGATGGATGTGTGTCCGCAGCCTTTAAGTCGTATCTCCTCCTCAACGGAGCAATATCGAGGACTAGTTCCAAAAGCAAATATGTTAAGCAAGTTCCGAGGATGAACATAGACCAAAAAAATTCCCGGAATTCCTTCTTGGATTTCCCGGAAAAGCCAAAAAACCTCGAACAAATGCAGTTTTTGCTCCATATCTCGGCAACCAGACCACTAAGCGACTTGAAACATTTACCAATCGATTCCTGCCATAATTTAGACCAATATTGCAGAAGAAAGTTTTCAAAAATATCCTTTCGTTCGGTCAATTAAGAACATTTAAACTGAGCATCGTGTAGGCCTAGGATGATATTTACTACTTTTTTAAACTGAGCATCGTGTAGGCCTCCGTTGATATAGGTTAATATAGTTGTCTTTTTTTTAGCGCAGTTTCCATACTGGTTTCTATTTTGTTTTAAATTATTAAAACTACTTGTGTTGCATTATTTATTTGCTGAATATATGATTTATCTCGATTTAAAATTGTTATGGATAACATAAGGAAATTGCTCTTAAATTGTCACTAGTTTATATGTATAGGTGTAAGGTACAAACAAGGCTTGAGGTAAAAATTAAATGCTCTAAAAATGATTCTTAGATGACCTCACAGTGAGTTAACCTATGAATACTAAAGGCAATTTTTCTGCTTTTAGGTCAATCTTCTTTTCTTTGCCAAGAGCAGAGAAATTGTCGGAAATAAGAAAGCAAAGCTGCTGCTTCCCACTGTTATTACTGGGAGACATATATTAAAATACATTGTCAGAGCATATCCAGGGTAAGTATTTTTTTGTAGGTCATTATTTTATTTTAAATGCTTTTATCTAATTTACCAATTTACCTTTTGTTTGGCTTTACGCCAATGGGGTATGTGTGCTATGATTGCTAATAAATCAGCATAGACTTATATTTATTTGAAAGGTGGTAAGGTGTTATGAAATTTAGCTTCTTATTTAGCAAAATCTTTGTGTAACTGTTATTTTTAAATAAAGTTAAAAAAAAAACAATATTGTCAAAGAAAATGAATATTAATTCTTAATGTGTTATTCTTTCTTATAAGATTGAACTTAATTGCAGGCTTAATTCAATAATTAAGAACGTTGTGCTGTCCTTGAATGAAGACTATTTAGAACTTGATCAAAAAGTTACTTTGTGTGAGCGTGATGAAATTGCTGTGATTCCACCTATAAGTGGAGGCTGACTTTATCTTTTAGTGAGTTCTGTTACTCATTGTTTCATTTTTATTCTATATACTTTAAAGTTATTTACTTTTTCTATTCATTTTTGAATGCATAGGATGTTTTTTTTTTGTGTGGTTAAAATATAACTTGCAAACATTTTTTTTCCAGGTGTTAACATTTTATAGTTTAGAGATAGAGACATGGATTTTGTGGATGTTGTTGAAGAGAAGTTAAAAGTAGAAGAAATAACTGATAAAGTTTCCTCTGCTTCATGTGGGGCTGTGTCAGTTTTTATTGGTAAAATATTTTCTAACATTTGGGCTGTTGTTAAAAAGTTTATTGTAGGTATAGACATTTTTTTTATTGTCTTGATAACATTAACTAAGATGGCCTTTTTCAAATGATCTCTTTCTTTAATAAAGGTACAACAAGAGATAATTTTGATGGCAAAAGAGTTTTGACGTTAGATTATGAGGCCTACCTGCCAATGGCAAAGAGAAAAATGCAAGAAGTGTGTCAAACAATTCGTGAGAAGTGGGATGTAGAAAATATTGCCATTATACACAGAATTGGGTGAATTGTTTTGTACTACCTTAACTGTTTACTTATCTGAAACCTAGAAAAAATATTTTACTCCTAATGAAAATCTCAAAGCAAACACTGTTTATAATGGTTAATAGTTTCAAGCAAGCTTCAGTCAATAATGCATAAATAAAGTTATATTTTAAAAATATCAAATTTAGGATTTTAAAAAAATATTTATTTTATTTTACTTTAGGTTATTTTGAAATCTTATTATTTTGTCTAAGACTTGTGAACATAGATGAAAAAAATTGAAATAAGTTATCTCCATTCCTATTAGCTGAAATCTCAACCATTTGTCTAACATCTATATTGTAGCCCAGTACCAGTGAAGGAAGCAAGTATAGTCATCGCCATATCCTCAGCTCATAGAAAAGAGTCATTAGAGGCTGTCCATTTTGCTATAGACACAGTGAAAGCCATAGTTCCTGTATGGAAAAAGGTTCGTCAAAAAAACTAGGGGTATTATTTATATTTTAGTGATATTTTATTTCAAAAATGCATGTGAACCATGTATCAGTAATCTGGTAGCTTTATTTTGGTACAAATATATTTTGTTGCAAACAAATTCTTTTCCTTTAAGTATTGTTTCAATGAAAATACAACCTGCATGTTTAATATGGATAAAAATTGAATGGTGGCTTTGGTTAGTAGAAGTATTATTTTCAAATGTTCATTGAACACAATCCTCATAACTAGATAATGGTATTGTTTTAATATTTGCCTGAATTAAAAAAGAAGTTTCATTTATCGAACATTTCTTTCACCCAGGAAATTTATGATGATGACACATGCACCTGGAAACAGAATAAAGAGTGTGCCTGGAGCAGTGACCCTCCAATGTCCAGTAGTCCAGATCACAGTGCTGGGACATCTTCTGGGGATAAACTTGTCAAGGAGGGGGCCCAGCCACAGCACATTATGCATGAGCATTTATAACACAGGAGTTAAGTGCTAGGTTTTTCTTTTGCAATTTATAAAATTATAAGTGGCTCATGAAGTGTTTTTGAACAAATAAATTAGGAAAGTAAATATTTATATAAAACTTACAATTCATTATTGTACATGTATATTTTTTTTTATAACTTTGTTCACATGAGATGTATTATGTAATCCTTTAGCGCATCCAATAAGCACAAATAATATTTAATCAATTGTTCAATATTTGTTTTAAAATTTAAGGTCTTAAAATGTTGCTGATATTGTTGGATTATGTATTCTGATGACTGTTGTAGCAAAATTAAGCAGAAGAGACTTTATTTGGAATTTTGTTATACATTTTTTTTAATTTCTCTGATGCTTTGTTTAACAAATGCATGTCATTTCCCCTTTTTGTGTAATGAGTTTTGAGTAGACACCAACTTTTAAAATACAAATATAGGTACTTTCCTTTGGTAAATCTGCATTAAATTTATTCTTTTTAATTTTTGTTTCATTTCCTACGATCTCATCTTATTGTTTTCACTCATCTAATTTTGTGACTGTTAATTTTTGTGCTTACAAGTTATTTTTTGTTTAATGATATCTGGATGACATTTTTAAAAATAAAGTATCCTTATTATAAAACAGTGCAACAATCAGCTGATTATAAATGTACTGAGTGCTTGAAAGTTAACTGTACAATTTTATTTCGTTAAAATACTTACGGAATCATCATTACTAATGTATGTTTTAACAAATAATTTTTTTAATGTCCATTTTAAAAAAAAGAACCCAAACAGAAGTTTACACAGAGCTTGTATTTAGACTAAAAGAATTTTTTTAAAGTTATTTAATGTTGTGGAATTATTTTTCTTTATTTACAATAATTAATGTGAATAGAGAACTAACAAATTTAATTAATTTTATTTGACACAAGCACTTCTTAAGATGTTTTTTTATCGACCTATTCATCTCTGTTTATACTGAAACCATAAGCGAAACAAATTAAAAAAAGAATTTTAAATAAACCTGTAGGTTGATAAAGATATTCAACTTTTCCCTCACAATTTTCATTATACTTACCCTTTCCAAACCTAATTATAAATGTGCCTTACTAAACAAATGTATGAAATAAATAACTATTTTATCTAGAACTTGTTGTGAATATTTGTACTGCATAAATTAGCCAGATTTATATAATTTTGTTAATTTCTTATTTAATTTTAGCATGTCTTGTTTGTTAAACCATGAAAATTGAGTTACTTTTTGTGATAGTTTATTCCAGATTTGTTTAAAAATGACCTAGATATATGTTTAAAAACTGCATGATGGTTTTTGAGTTACCGGTTCTTCAGATGTATTTATACAACTTTTTATTTTAATATGTCACCACTTTGTTTGGGTCTTGCTAAACATGTTGCGCTGTTTATAAAGCAATATCTATTCATTGTGCCAGTCAAATAACAAAAGCTATTTGCCTAAAGTTATTATTGTTTAGTTTATTCACTAGGTGTTTATTTTGATGGCCAAATGAACTGGTTAAATGAAATATTATTTCTGGCTCTTGAAATTAACAAAAAACAATTGCAAGGTAATTGAGCTCATAACTAATAGCCATAAAATTTAAAGTTTGGTTCCTGGGATGAATTCATAGTATGTCGTTGAGCCCACCCAGCTTTATTTAGTACCTTTAGAGGTTTGGGAAGTAAAGCGGTGGTCTACTTCATCTGCCAATTTATAGCCAGATCCAAGAGAATACTTTGCAGAAGTGCCAACTTCAGAATATCCTGTTTTCTCAACAGCCAATACTCACGAAAATATTTAAGTTACACTTCAGTATATATTTTGCAAGTATAGTCTTAGAAGTTTTTGCTAGATTTTTCAACCATATTTAATTAGAATTTAAAATACCTGTGATTTTTATAGAACAATAAAGATTCTAAAAAAAATTATTTTTGTTACTTTTGTTATATTTTTGTATTTCTATCAAAACAAAAATGTCAGTCCTATTACCTGACACGTTCCATAGATATCTCATTCACACTGCTGTGTCATGCCAAAAATTTCATTGAATTATCACAAAATGCTACAGTTTGGCAGTGTTGTGCTATAATAATGGCTTAAACAAGTATTTTATTATAAACTATATTCATTTACACTACATTAAAAGTTGAACCAAAAACCCCCATACAATTTTGGTTATTGATATTGACAAAGGCTGAAAAAAAAAAATTCATGGTATAATTGCAATACATAATACTTTATGCTGTTTAGCCACAGTGATGTTTTTGTTTTCTTTTTAAGTGTCTTGTTTCTCTTTTATAGTGTAGTTAAGTAGTCTATATTTTATCATCAAGGGAGGGAACTGTTAAGCATTTCAGAAAATGTTTTGCTGATTGCCTCTCTTTGCATAGCCTGTACAATAAATTGGTATTAAAAATAAAAAAATAAATCACAACCAATGATGAAGAAATGGGACAAGTAACGATTTAAGTTTAAGGGTCACAAATAATGTTAACGATTTTTGTTCTCCATGTATCTGTATGGGATATTACTGGGGAATTTTTTTGGAGCAGTCAGTTTGAATTGGTCTAAATAAAATGGCTAAAAATATTTAGTCCATGATGTAAAGGTTGGTATCCACCAATCATGAGTATAATAGCACTATATTTCATGTTTTATACATTGCATCAGTTACCAGTGGCGGAACTAGAAAAAAGGTTCCCCGCAAAAAAAAAATTATATTTAAAAATATTTTTCTACGCAACAGTGTCTGTTAGTTACTTTGAAATCAAACACTGCTATATTAGACCGGTTTTTTTTAAAAAAAACAAAACCACTATCAATGTGCACGAAAAAAAAACAACAACACATTATATAATATATATGGGGGAGAAAAATCAATGTTTTTTTGTTGATCGGAATTGGACCCCTAAATGGCCTGACCCCCCCCCCCCCCCCCCCACACACACACCCGCCTGCGGGGTCTGGGGCAGCTTGGTAGTTCCGCCTGTGTCTGTTAGTTCCTTACCCAGATATTGTTTTTTTTATACAGTGGTGTAAATTAAAGCAATAAATGCAGGCTTGTAAGCATACACAATTACTATTATAAATTACAAATTTGTTTTTATTTACTTGTTAGAAGTACATTGTTTTAAATAGTCCTATCGTCAAAAGCAATTATCATTGTTTATAACTTTCTTTAACTTTTAAATTTATCCTAAGGGGGGGAGGGGTGAGGGGAACTTGACAGCTCCCCATCTTTGAATACATCTCTTCTTTTTCGTATATAGCGTAAATCTTTCTTTAAGATATTTTTCTTTACCTCATAGATTTGATACAGTAGGCCTACGGTTGTTAATTCATCGTCTGCCGATTAATTATGTGCCAAAATATAATAACAATGAAATGATAAAGCCAAAATATAGATGCAACAAAAATGAAAACAACCAGTTTTATGACAGTTTAATTGTTATCAGGTATCAAAGTATCGTCATGGCATTGTCATTGTTACAAATCAACGAGAAATTGGGGGATAAGGTGGGAGATAAAAATAACGTGATGAGCATGCAACGTAGAGAAGACGATGGGCTGGTGGCCAACGTGCTGCGCCAGAGGCGTAGCGACCCTTCCCGGCGCCGGGAACAAACTGTCGATTTGCACCCTCCCCCCTCAGACTTTTGATTTGCACCCCACCTTCAATCTTTTGATTTGCACCCCCCTTCAAACTTTCAATTTGTTTTTCCAACCCATTTTGGCCTAAGGTCGGCGCCCGGGCTCGCTACGCCTCTGGGCTGCGCTGTAGAGTGGACCAGCTGGTAGTGGTTCACATCTTGCTAAATGATCCAATTTTGGTAGTGGGTAGTGGTTCACATTCTGCTAAATTATCCGATGTTGGTAGTGGGTAGTGGTTCACATTCTGCTAAATTATCCGATGTTGGTAGTGGGTAGTGGTTCACATTCTGCTAAATTATCCGATGTTGGTAGTGGGTAGTGGTTCACATTCTGCTAAATTATCCGATGTTGGTAGTGGGTAGTGGTTCACATTCTGCTAAATTATCCGATGTTGGTAGTGGGTAGTGGTTCACATTCTGCTAAATTATCCGATGTTGGTAGTGGGTAGTGGTTCACATTCTGCTAAATTATCCGATGTTGGTAGTGGGTAGTGGTTCACATTCTGCTAAATTATCCGATGTTGGTAGTGGGTAGTGGTTCACATTCTGCTAAATTATCCGATGTTGGTAGTGGGTAGTGGTTCACATTCTGCTAAATTATCCGATGTTGGTAGTGGGTAGTGGTTCACATTCTGCTAAATTATCCGATGTTGGTAGTGGGTAGTGGTTCACATTCTGCTAAATTATCCGATGTTGGTAGTGGGTAGTGGTTCACATTCTGCTAAATTATCCGATGTTGGTAGTGGGTAGTGGTTCACATTCTGCTAAATTATCCGATGTTGGTAGTGGGTAGTGGTTCACATTCTGCTAAATTATCCGATGTTGGTAGTGGGTAGTGGTTCACATTCTGCTAAATTATCCGATGTTGGTAGTGGGTAGTGGTTCACATTCTGCTAAATTATCCGATGTTGGTAGTGGGTAGTGGTTCACATTCTGCTAAATTATCCGATGTTGGTAGTGGGTAGTGGTTCACATTCTGCTAAATTATCCAATGTTGGTAGTGGGTAGTGGCAGTGGCGTAGCGAGGTCGGGTGTCACCCGGTGCGGCACTTAATGGTGTCACCCCCCCCCCAGAGACATAGAGACCCTTCCCAGGGACAAACTTTCAAATTTTCGATTTGCACCCTCCCCCCCTCAAACTTTCGATTTGCACCCCCCCTCGAGTTTTCGATTTGCACCCCCCCCCCCTCAAACTTTCGATTTGCACCCCCCCCTCAAACTTTCGATTTGCACCCCCCCCCCTCGAGTTTTTCTCTATATATTTTGCTATTTTTTGCCTTGGTGTCACCCCCCTAAATGGTGTCACCCGGTGCGGTCCGCACCCCCCGCCCCCCCCCCCCCCCCTCGCTACGCCCCTGGGTAGTGGTTCACATTCTGCTAAATGATCCTATGTTGGTAGTGGGTAGTGGTTGACTTCTAGCTAAGTTATCCGATGCTGCTCCGAAGCCTTGACTACAATACTTGTCAAACAGCTGGTCAGTTATATCGCCTTTTTTTTGTGCATGTGTCGCTACTATAACCGTGTTCTGGTTAGCGATAAGAAGGAAAAGGGTACCAGAATACATTTTGTCCTGTCGAACTTTTTTCGAGGATTATAATTGATAAACACCGAAAAATAATGACTGGGGCTGGTTTATTTTTGGCTTGAAACTACAGTTAACCCTGAATTATAGCTTGGATTAGTTAGTGTTAGAGTTAAGCTTGGAGCTAAAAGTATCAGTCTTCTATACTAGAATACTTTAAAAAAAAATCTGTGCTTTTGTTATCGTCAGAGTCCACCTTCCCTTCCCCACCCCCACTATCCCTTACCAAGTAGAACTCCTAAACTAACATCCGTACTACGTGTATTTTACCAAACGTCGCTAACCCTAACGATAATCCTTATCGGTTAGGACAACATACACGCGATACATGTCTATGTTCAAGTGCCGAATGTGCAACCCACGTGACAGGGTTGGGCTGTCGTCTGGCGAAAAAAAAAAAAAGCACAAGGCGATTACATTCGCGACGATGCATTTGAGGTCACGCGACGATGCGGCGAAAAAAAAATGACAGAGGACGGAAGTCGCGAACCGGAAGTACCAGAGAGTTCCATTAGAACGAGCGACTCCATTGACTTTCTTCGCCAGCAGGGGAAAAAAAATCGACGATATTTAAAATATATCTGCACCTCCTTTCAACCCGTTCCTTAGGGGGTTGCTACGCTCCAATGAGCAGACGTTTAAACTTGTGCGTCGAGTCGGAAATTAACTAAAGTTTGCTGGGGAGAACTGCCAGTTTGGCCTTCGCTCTCAATTCAAGGCTCGCCGGTCCTTCCTGGCCATAAAAACACGGGTAATGGCGGCAAAGGAAACTTTTTTTTTAAACATGCAATTAGACTGATTAGACAGATCAATCAAATGGGTCATGCAAATATTTGGCCGTTTAGAATCTCGGCTCACAATAGAAAGGGTCTACGCTCAGCGCTAGAAATAACGCTGGTTTAATGGCGGGTCTAATGCCTTTGAACAGATGCCTTGCTGTTTGTCGTTCGATTAATTCCATTCGGATCAATATCTTTTTCGCTACGCCGAGGAAGCTGAAAAATAATGCTGTACGCTTGAATGAATTTAAACAGAAACACGCAATCGATATGGTTTTATTTTTCTAGTTTCATTACAATACATTTTAAAAAGAAATTCATCAATTTTTATTCGATCCTTAAAAGACTTAGGCAGGTATTTCCTAAGATTTATTTCTTAAAATGATATTTTAATTTTAATTTTCTTTAAAGCTGTTTAAAATTTACTTTGGGGATGAGAATCTATTCGAAGACGACGACAGGTGCCTACCTAGAGATAATTTAGAATCAGAAAGGCTTCCTGGAATAGCATGTCTATAGCTGGAGATTTGTTTTTTGAAAAAAAAAGTTACCGAGCCCAATCAGCTCTAAAGAGTACCTGGCCTATGTCGTGAGCAATAAAAAAAATAAAGTAAAGGCAGCTGGCTACAATACTGAGGACATATCAACTGTCTATACGAAGTTTAAAGAAACAGATGAAACCTACCAGTGGCGTCGATAGGTCGGATGTCACCCCTCAAAAAAAAAACAAGTGGGAGGGGGTTCCGTATCCCCCGCCCCGCCTCGTGACGCCTCTGAAATCTACTCTCCTGCGGTACAACAATTTATTAAACGTGGGCGTAAAGGATTAACTTGATTTGGATAAAAATGTATACAGAACAATTTAATTTAATACACCATTCTAAAAATGCTTTAACAT